GGGAATGGAGGACCAGAGCTATGAGACAAGGCTTCTGACCTTAAACATGTTTACTCTGGAATTAAGGAGATTAAGGGGGATATGATTTTCATGTACAAGATGTTCAATGGTGACAGCAACATTGGCAACAAACTGTTTGAGATTAACTCCATTACAAAGACTAGAGGCCACCACCTAAAGTTGGTGGAGAAAAAATTCCAGCACAAGGGGCGAAGAGGGTTCTTTACAGTAAGAGCAGTTAGGGTCTGGAACTCGCTGCCACCGGCCGTCATCTCAGCCAAGAGTGTAGATTTGTTCAAGAAACGTTTGGACAATTTCTTGAGGGACCGTAATATCCAGGGATACCAGTATCCCTAAGAATGAGATGATGCGTGGACCTATATGGGTTGGACTTGATGGACGTATGTCTTTATTCAACCCCAAATACTATGTAACTATAAAAAATAAAAATACAGAAAGAAGTAATAGAGGAATAGATAGTGGTCTCACTCCAGTCAACACAGCTAAAGTAATCACCGAGGTTAAAATAGCAGAAACAGTCAATGTAGCAAATAAGTTGTCAGAAGTGAATAAAATAAGTCAGAACTTTTTGAAACTCTTTTTTTTTATATAATGATCTAAATTTGGGATTTTTCTTCTTCCAGGTCCAGCAACGAAGAAAAAATACGTCAGCTACAACAACTTGGTGATCTAGACGGCCTGCTCATGAGCGTCAGTAGGAGCAGCTCCATTTTCACTCTTGCGTTGTGTGGTGCGGCTTGCTCCCCCTCCACCCCGTGCCTCTCCTACAGCGGCCAATCATGAGAGGAGAGGGGCTTGCTGGGACATGAAGGTGCACGGCCCGTTGAGGATCGGGGGATAGCTGCTTCATCCGAGCCATCTGAACTGTTCTCGGCTCGACCTTTTCTCGGGGACAAGCCAGGACCAAAGGATGAGCGCCCAGCCCCGCGTCAAGCAAGTTTGTGAGCGGGAGTTTTACCAGGGCTCTCCCGTCATATATTTTTTTGGGGACCATCAGACTCAAACCTTTCTGTACAGTTTCTGAGGACTTTTTGCATACAAAAATCAAACCCTCCCCCACCCCCTTTTCCTTTCATGTCCTGCTTTTCTTTCACCGCCTGGGGAGTCCATTTTCATTCGATGCCTCCTCTCCCCATCAACGAGCACTTGGCTTCCATGTTGACACGCATCACCTGTACAATTCACTGATCGGACCGGTCGGCCTTGTCTGGTTTTCTTTTATTATTTTTTTGGTTTTATATATATATATATATATATTTTTTTTTTTTCTTCATGTCATCATGCGTTTACCTCGTTCCCTTTGTTGTGTTTACTTCCTTTATGCATTAATGAACAACAAGGTTTTTTTTTTTTTGGACAAGAAAAAAAAAGACCAAAAACTGTGTGTGTTAAATGCAGACCGTTCCTGAGCGTGATTGGCTGGCGGGATCTGGAATGCGATTGGCTGGCGCCAGGCGGTCTCCTGTTTCCGGATGCATGTTCTCTCGCTTTCTCTCTTTCTCTGCATTATTTTGAGTTTTTTTTATTTTCTGTCGGAGGACTCTGCTGTTTGTGTTTGATTTCTCTTCATTTGCACCGTGGCCGTCGGGGGGTTTCTGCAGACGGGAAGTGGGTTGCGTTGGAGCCCCGCCCCTGAGGGGAATCTCCTCTAAGCTGGGTCAGTGAAGGTCACTACGTGGACTCAGATGTGGCAACAAAAAAAAAAGCATGTATGTTTTCTACTGTTTGTAATGAGTATTTTCTGCTTACGTGCCAACCTCGTGAGACACCCCCCCTCCCCAGATTGCCCTGTGATATTGTCAGAGAATGTATTAATTAAAGATTTTGATTATCTTTTCTATTAATCGTTGTCATCGGGGTTTCTTACGGTGCAGATTTTCAGGTTGGGGAACACCTTTTGATGATGTGGAGATAGTAATGCGGGTATACACTCTTTCCAAAGAACCCCGATACCCCAAGCAACCTGACCACTTAACCCCTTTATCGCCAGAGAACACTGAGGCTTAGAAGCTCAAATTAAATTAAAAAGATGTATTATCTATCAGTTATCTAAACTATAATTTGATGACTAATTTACAGGACCCTTTAAATGGTACTGTGTTTTAATAAATATCCTACTTATATTTTTAATTATAAGCTAACACATTAAAAAAAATCTGGTTTACACATATCAGTTTTCAATAACACTTTTTAAAGATAGTGTAATAATAATAATAGTAATAATAATAATATGTATTATGATGATTATTATATATATATAGAGTGTAATATAAATGGGTAAGCCGTATTAGACCAGTAGACAAGATGTCAAAAAAAAAATGCAGTGTGCAATGATACCTTTCTTATTGGACTAACAAAATATATAAAAGACAAGCTTT